GCGCTGCTGGCGGTGCTGGTCCTACAGGAGCTCCTCCGGGCGGCTTCCCAGGAGGTGCGGCCCCTGGTGGATCAGCTGGCGGTGATGAGTCTGGCCCGACGATCGAAGAAGTCGACTAAATATAGCACCGATTATATACAAAATATAATTCTCTAATAAACTATATATATATATATATGTATACTTTGGCTTTAAAAAGATTAGTGTTTCTTTATTATTTCTCCTTAGTTTTTTTCTCGAATATACGATACAAATGATGTAAAGCGTTAATGTACAGACCAGTACACATTTGTACAATAAATTTTACAATTCTCGATTATTCGCTGAAAGTTTGTATTTATTTGGACATGTATATATATATATAAATGATGCACATGTATTTATTTGTATTTGTCTTTATACAACGTCAAAGACTACCAGCGTAGTCTTACAAATCAATAATATAACTAACTTAAACCTAGACTTTATCCACTCTGCTGCCTCTTCAACTTGGGTGGAGTCTTTTCTAGCTCCTCTTTCCTGGCTGCGGCTTGATCGAGTCTTTCCTGTAATTTATCACGTGCTTCTTGGCGCAATTCGTCGGACAGACGGCGTTGTTTTGCAGCAACTTGTTTCGCATGAGCTATGACTTCTGAAGCTTTCTTTACACGTTCGGCTTCAAGTTGCTAAATAACCGAGAAAAGTACCATATCATTAGAACATGCAATGGCCTTGAGATTCGAACAGAAAGACATATGCTGGGGAAACTGTTTAAACCGGCGCTGATTAAACCCGCCTAGGGTTTAACCGACCGCCTTACGACTACACCAAATTTTCATCAATTAGAAACTTTCTTTAGTTAAACAAATTTTCTGACCAGTCTTTGGCTAAACCGGCCAAAAATCAGCAAAGGCCCGCTGGTTTAAACAGGTTTCACCTGTATTAGCATTTATGATTACCTTCTTGCGTTCTTCAGCGGCTGCGTGTTTGGCATCAATTTCTTCTTGGGAGTGGTTTCTATAGAGTAGAGACGTTCAAATGTGCAATGGTCAGAATAAACTTGAGAAATTGCAGTGTCAGCCCGAAACATTGACAAAATTGCTAGTACTAATCCACTTGTATACTTCTGCGATAGATCAATTAATTTACCGCAAACATTCGGGAACAAACACTCACTCGGGTTGTTTTTCAGGTCTCTGTTTTTGCAATTCGGCAAGACGTTTCTTTTCCGCTTCATCTTTCCTTGCTGCTGCCGTATCCAATTTCTCTTGTAACTTTTCCAGTGCTTCAGCTTTAGCTGCGTCAGAAAGTTGACGTTGTTTCTCAGCTACTTCTTTAGCACGGGCAACATCTTCAGCAGCTTTCTTGCGACGTTCTTCTTCAATTTCCTGTGGAATTAGGTGGGAGGGAAATCGTATTGTTAGAGACGTTTGGCGAATTTCGGATAGTGAGATTGCCCCGCTTGGTTCTATTCGGATAGAAAAAATTGGGCGATGACGGTAAGGAAAAACAGCATTACTTTTTTCCTTTCTTCGGCTGCTGCATGTTTGAGCGCAACCTGTTCTTCAGTGAGACTAAATGTGTTAATTGAGGACGAGCAAATATCGGCATGTCAGTAAAGTTTGCACATTAAAGAATTCAAGACATCGATTACTATGCATTGAGATAAAATGACTGTTTCGAAGAGAAGTGAAATCTCGCTTCTCGTTCATTACTCTCTCACTTCGTTTAATTCACGACGCGTAAACCGCACGCGTCCATGCTTTGACGTACTCTCTAGACGAGAACGTACCATTCTTTCTCTTCGTTAAGTCTTTTCAATAGCCCTTCCGGTGGCTGAGAGCTTGGGCTCTCTTGTACTTGCACCTCAAAAGCAACTGGTTTCTGCGGAGTCGTTGACATTATGTTGTTAAATTTCGACCCCTCCCAGATGTTGAGGGGGGGTTATTTATTTACCTCAAAATGCATGAATTCGGAGTCGTACGATGTTGTGAGGTAATCATGGGGGTACATTGAAAATGGTGTGATGTAAATAAACGGTATGATTAGAGTGGGTGAGCGTTAAAGTGTAAATTTTATTACGTCATTAGGCATCCCATTCAACCATAATTTTAACTTAAACGAGGCGATTGGCAAAGTCACTTAACGCCACGAAAAATCATGTGATTACTGTTAAAATGTCCCTTTGTGTGACGTTTTTGAAACAGCATTAGTAAGACTGCTGATATGTTTGCACTTTAGGTATTAGCACATAGAACCGTACGTCGTTCGGGTGTGATTAGTACATCCCATTACTTTCAAGTGACATCTTGGTATCGTTCGCAACAGTTCTGATAACTACAGTCGATTTTTCCTATCGCGAGAAACATTTATTCACAACAACGTGCTCCAGTTTAGATTCTTCTTTAGTATTAAACGCAGTATCATAATGCAACACGTGATCATGACATGTTATATTTAGTAAATAGGTCCACTCTGTTTATACAACTATAGTTCGTTTATACTGGGCGATGCATATACTCTATACAGGCCGAATTGCATAATGTTCGTTTCATAAGTTTATACTATAGACACAGAGCTGTGCCAGTATAAGCAGAGTGATTGGTCCGCCAACATCAGGTCATAAAGTCAGCTTCTTATTTAGATTACTGTTATTAGAATCGCTAATATCATTACCTAACATATTTAACAGTGTAGTTATTAAGGCTTCGTAATTATCATGGATTTACATACATTATTTAGTTGTCGCGCGGGGTGATGCTGAAACATGACTTTTTATTGGTTGATTTCAGCTTTCAGCTACAATATATTTATCACTTGCCACGTGTGGATATCCTCCGAGAAAATGTCTAGTCTCGCAGATTATTATATACTGACAGCATAGGAGAAATACTCACCATTATAACATTGCG